AAAAGACGCAAAATTCTTTGAAGGCATGCGTGAGCTACTGTGTCCACCAATCCAAACACAACAAAGTTAAATTTAGCTTTTCGGATTAAATGGAATGTTGATTGTTCATGTGTTTTAACTTGACGTTTGGTCTATTTTACTACATTCCCTTCTGACGTTGATTTCCTTTTTTCATAAATTATAAAGTGAGTTTATGTCTCAAACACGTCTTAGCAAGTTAGGAAGAGCATCAAATACTAACTTAAGTGTAACAATCTTTTAATTGCCGGACAATCAATCGTAGCAAAGAAGGTACACAGGAGTTTGTAAATGCAGATTTTTTGTTTACCAGAGGAGCACTTTCCTTAATTGAAACATGATGTCATGTAATGCTGAGATTGATTTATCTTTGATATACAAAATTTGTTTAAACATCAACGTCTTAAGGTGATAAAAGGAGCAATTTACTTTATCATATGTCAATGTTATACTTCACGGACTCTTTCCTAAATACTTTCACGTATTGAGCCAATTTAAAGTAAGTGAGTCTACTACGATGAGTTACAGATCGAGTATACATTTGGTTCCGCTCCATTGCATTTTGCTGAAATTATGGGCTTTGGACTTTTTTGTGAAACATATTGAGCTGATTTTTAGTATTTAATCTTTTATGATGAGTAACATATTGAATTTACGTCTGGTTCATCTCCACTGATATGTGCCGAATTTAAAGGCTTTGGAATTTGAAAATTTCGTGAAAATATCAGTTATGGGGATTTTTATTATCAAATTCCCACTCTTAAAAATGACTTCAAGCTTTTTTCGCGAGCGGAGCCATTCCTATCGTTTCGACACATCTACTTTAGCCTCAAGCCCTAGCTCTTTTATTTTATTCAATTGAACCTCTATAGGTAAAGATTAAAGATGACCAATGAAATCAATCCAGAAAAGGCACTTTATTGAAATATGTCGAATAAAAGAATATGCAAAGTTAAAGAAAGAAAGTTCAATGAACTTCTTCAGACATTGATCTAACATAATGCTGTAGTCCACTGTTATAGCGACGGCTGTATATTCACATATATTAAATACAGAAATATGCACGACTAAACTCATCTTGTTCAGTGTCCATAGTAAGGTTCTTTGAAAAATTCAAATACAGAAAATATAATATTGGTTTCTGATATTGATTAGGAAATCGATACTAAATCCATTCAAATACCAAGTTCTTAACTTGTTTGCTTTACATATGAATAACCATGAATCAAGGTATCATATTTTGTTTTTCATTTTATTCCTGTAGGTGTAATACCACCATTGTTTCCCCTATTAGTCTTTTGTTAAATTTGCACTCTTCCAAAAATTGTGCAGAAATTATCTTTTGTTTCAAATAAAGAAATACTTGGCATGCGTAAAGTTTTATTCTGTCCAGTACTATAGACAAAATTTCACATAACATTTCATTGCATATAAGAAAATAACCATCACTGGAAGTTAACCAATCAAATTTTCACCAATTTTTTCCCGGGGTACAAGTTTTAGTTACCATGTAACCTCAAGTTTCCAAAAATATTCTGTAGAAACACCAAATAAAAAATAATAGTGCTTTGGTACACCCAAGATATATGTTTATAAATTTTTTTTACTACAGTGAAATGTAGGATTAATTTCCTACAACTGTCAAATTCAAGGGAATATTTTTTTCGACCCTTTTTCGTATGCAACCGGATGTGACGTACTATAATTTAGTGGTATTACACCTGTAATGGGAATATGACCAGATGTGTTATATAACACCCAAAAAGAATAAAATTGTGTATCAAAACAACAGCAAATGATGAACCGATTGAAAAGTAAAAGAACAAAAATAACGAACTCCAGGGAAAATTCAAAACGAAAAGTCCTTTATTAAAAATCAAACAATATCGCCGTATACGTAACTGTCAATAAAATGAAAACATAAGGTCAGGAAATTGCGTCTCATTTGCTAACGATGGAGGGATGTGTATAACCCTTTGTTTCCCTCTATCATTATGTTAAGGGAATTGTGGTTCTCTCTTTTTATTTTTCACCAAGTTTTCGTTTACACTTCAACATTATTAAGCTCTTTGCATGGAATTTTTCAAACACCAAAATCGTTTATTAATTTAAAAAGCAGATATCTTGTCACTATAATACTCGCTGTAGAGACATTAAAAAAAATAATCTCTTTACTGTTATACTGATATAACCGATGTGAAACCTGTTTTAGAGTATGAATGTACTTACATTTCATACATCCATTGCCCGACCTTATTTGTCCTAAAGCAATTGAATTAACACTGTAAATATTTAAACTTGAGTATTTCTGTATTTATCTGAAGCAAACTTTTAAATCATTTCGATATAAGTATAACCAACAATAAAGTAACAGCTTCCGTTTTACTAAATTTTCTACGCCTGGAATTTGCTTTAAATTATATTTGGGTATCCGCACTGTAAAACCGAATTGTATAACTTTGTTGAAACTCGATGGATCACAAATTGATGCATACTTGAAAAGCATGGCAGGAAGTCAGGTTGTATTTCATTTACTAGTAAATTTTCTTTCATAATTCATTAAACGGAGTCTCGATTTGAATGTTTTGTTTATTATGTTTATACTAGATAGGTGTAGCGGTTTAGAATAATATTATTTGTATATATGTTGAAAACTGAAATGATTCTCTGTAGAAAGGGCATTCTATGATGCTTTTCCCCTAAATATTAGTATTGAACGTCTATGCTGTTCAGCAACTAATTAAGATATAATCTTACAAATACATAAAGAGCGTGTGATTTAAATAACTAAATGCATTGTAATTCCATGATTGTATATATCATTTACAATGTGCAGTTAAGATGCATCATGTTCCATCGTATATATGAAAATCATTTGATGTATCATTATCATTAAAGAGAAAATGTTTATTTCAAAAACACAACTGTTACAATTTGAATTTTAAAATTATGTATACCATCCATTGATTACTTTTTTATTAGTATATCCAGATTCAATGTCAAATTTAAACGAAAACGAAGAATGCAAAAGGAAATAAATTGACGTTCTGTTGTAAATTAATGCGACTTTCGTAAACTGGTGTTTAATTCTAGTAAAATGATTAAGAGGAGACAAATCAAGGAAACAAACAAAAACTGAGGGAATCGGAAGAACGTGAAAGGAGGGGCAAGAACGATGTATTGACAGGGTGAGCGTCTTCTGCATTGAATGCATCACACTCGTCGCGAATCCAGTCACAATATCACAATTAGAAATAGGACACAATCACTAAAACAACAGATCATTCTATAAACCCTTTACAGTAAAAAAAAACGCTTTCCATTCATAATATTATAGTGATGTTGTTTCGATAATTTTAAGTAAAAAACTGAAAACATTAACAGAAAAATGAGGAGATACGGTATGAATGCCAGTGAGGCACCTACCCACCACAGTTCATATCAAGTGGTAATTAGTAGTTATATGTTACAGTATGGCCTTCATCAATGAGAAAAACCCACACCGTATAGTCAGCTATAGCTATTTCATCTAAAAAGTGAAAAAAATTATAAGGAAATGCATTGGTACCTTCCTTTTGTGTTAAATAACAACAGTAATTATGCATGATCGTATCAATAGAAATGAGAACATGTGGTAGTTGAAGCGTGCAAAGATTGACAATATATATTTTTAAACAATTGTTCTTGGTGTAACTAGATTATGTTTTTCTTTAAAACAAGATTGCCTTAATTGTTTTCCTTATCAATAGATAGATATAGTATTTCTTTTCAAATATATAATTTGTAAATACTAAATTGAACATCATATTCTACATATATTTATTTACATTTAATGAAATAATTTAATTTTTTATGAACAATTTGTAAATCATATTATGAATTTGTGTTTAGATTTTATCACTGAGTATGTATATATACATTTAGTAAATCAATAAATTTATCATAATTTTTCTGTCTTCTTTAATTGAATGTTTTGCTTTTCAACTATTCAAATTTTGCTATCTTCTTTAATTTAAAAAAAAAATATATTAAGGTTAAAATACCTACTTCATAAAGTGTGGTCAAGTTTTAGATTAAATTCAGCTTTAAAATCTGGTTAGAGCTTACATTTATATTTATCGGTTTATAGTAAGGAACCAAAACTTAGTGGAGGCACTATCGCTGCCATATCATAGTCCATGCATGGATAGTCTAGGAGACTAATTGTGTGGACTGTTATGGATATCGATCTGTGTCAAAGATTACCAAGGTTATGTCCAACTCTTAATGTTTTTTTCATTGTCACATCAAAGTAAAATTTAGGCATACTTCTTTCCTTATTCACGAAAATGTGCTATGAAAATAAAAGTCCCTGACACCCCTCCTGTATCTCTCCCAAACACTGATGACAGATTTATTTGGATCTTAAAAATGGATAACTTCAGAATTTGTTTTCAATTTTTTTTATGTAGGGTTATGCGTTTTCGACTTAAGAAAATTTCCTGTTTTTATTATCAAAATAATTTTATAGATTTTTGTATTGATTTATCAAAATGATTACCATTTGCAACCAAACAATAATTTTAAGTAGTATAATTCATAAACCTACATGTATTTCAAATGGTTCTAGAAGAAGAAACATTTGTCTTACCAAAGTATAGGTATAATGTTATAATGTGAGTACCAAAAACTATCATAACAACGCACCGTCTGTACTTCTTGATTGCAAAAATCGATATGTATAATAGAGAGACAAATTTGGCGAAGTAGAAATCAACCTGTAATGACGGACCTAGAAAATAGCATACTCATATTCTTCTTCGTAGTAATAGCACATTAAAAAAATCAATGTACGGTATTGTAACTTGCAATAAATAAGAAATAGACAAATTTGGAAATTATTCAAAAATTCATCATACATTTTTTTAACCTAAAATATATTGTGTAATCAAAATCTAAGTGAGTGTTGCATTTGCAAACATTTAAATGTGTATTCGATTCGAAGACTCAGGTAGAAGACTTCGATGGCCGAGTTGTCTCAGTTGAACTACTGTTCCACTAGCCTGTCAACACTGAGGCTGTGTATCAGAGCCCCGTACGTTGCAGTTTAAATGTCCCTCTGGTATCTTTTGCCCCTCTTGTGCAGTTGCATTCAACTCCAATCTTGATTAAATAGGAGTGCCGGTATTCCTGCCGAAGGTCGGTGGTTCTCTCATGGTACTCTAGCGGCCTCTACCAATAAAATTGGCTGCCACAGAATGTCCAATAAAACTGGAAGTGGGGTTCAAACAACAACATCAATAAATCAATCAACCGCTCAGGCACTAAATTGAATAAGATGCCACACATGTACACGTTTCACGTATTGGCATTAAACCTTATGAAATAAACAAACAAGTGTCTTGTTATCAATAACAAAAACACAATGAAAAACTACAGTATATAAGTGAGATTTAAAATCAGTTATAACTGTTATACTTCAATAATGGTATGTTGTGTACTCTGTCCCTTACATGATTTGTTCATTTCCTCCAAAAACTGACATAAACAGATTGCCCGACGTGAGTGTCTGATGCTCACGGGATGGCTAAGTTTTCCAGACAAAAACTTGTCAAAGTAGATAACAGAAATATCCATAATCTTGTCCAAAGCATCTTCCTGTAAGCAAAAAAAAAAAGATGGCGAGGTTAATGAGAGACGAAAGATACCAGAGAGACAGTCAAACTCATAAGTCGAAAATAAAATGATAACGCCATGGCTAAAAAAGAAAAGACTATCAGAAAAACAACAGTACACAAAACACAACATACAAAACCAAATACTGAGCAACACGAACCGCACCAAAAACTGGGGTTGACGTCAGGTGCACCGAGAGGGTAAGCAGATCCTGCGCCACATGTGGCACCTGTCGTACTGCTCATGTTAGTACAAACCTGTAAATTAGCAATCAGTCTGTAGAAAGATATAAGAAGACGTGGTATGAGTGCTAATGAGACAACTCTCCATCCAAGTCACAATTTGTAAAAAATTAACCATTATGAGTCAATGTACGGCCTTCGACACGGAGCCTTGGCTCACACCGAACAGCAAGCTATAAAGGGCTCCAAAATGACTAGTGTAAAACAATTCAAACAGGAAAACCAACGGTCTAATCTATACAAAAACGAGAAACGATAAACACTTATGAACCACATCAACAAACGACAACCACTGAACAACAGGTTCCTGACTTAGGACAGGTGCAAACAAATGCAGCGGGTTTAAAGTATAAAGCATGACGATGTATTCCCATCATATTTTTTCTAAAAAGCATAAAGGTTGTAACATAAGTTGAAATCTTTCTTACCATTCAAAGTCCAGAGTACAAAAAATTAACAAAGCTAAACATTCTGTCATTATTGGAAAATTTAAAATTCATAGCTCCAGCTAGCTTGACGAACCATATGCATGTATCCTGCATTTTATATTTTACAAAACAAATAAAAAATGACTAAGTTCAGTAACTTGTCGTTTGTGGAAAATTAAAATGATTTTAGTTTGTTATATGTTCTAAACGTCTAACAAAATAAGTGTTCTAACTTAAAAACTGTTGAAGGAGAAAAATGTACCACATTAGGGACGGACGGGCAAACAGTGGCGACACAAAAAAAGTTAAACTCTGATATTTCGTCACAAGGGGATTGAAATCCACTAATATAATTTGAAGATTTTAAGTAAGATATAATTTACTTCAATATCAATAGCCATGGTGTTCACGCCAATCAGCGAAGTTCTTTCGTTATTTGCTTCAGTGATGTCATCTTCATCAACCATTTTTACTCTGGTTTCATCTGTGTTTCTTCTTACGTGGTGTTCTTTGATATATTCCTGTAAAATTGTCAACTGTAAAGATTACTATGTTTAAATTTATCGAGGAGAGGTAACTTTTAACATACAAGAACAAAAATCAGATTCTTAATATTTCTATAAAAACAGTCCAAATCTCTTTAATGTTAAAAGGTTGCTTTAGCAAAAAGGTGAAAAACGCACATGTATTTCGTTTCACGCATTTTGTCGTTTGATTTCCGTCTTTCTGATAATTCCTATAGTCTTATTCATTCACTGGAAACAATATATATCCGTTGTTCGACCTGCTAGTCAAATGCGTTTTGTTAAAATATACTTTTTCACTTTTTTGGTCTTTTGGAAAATGTTGCTTGTGCTGTATTTAGACCACTCTACCAAAAAATTTGTTTTGCAGGCACATGTATAAAAATTGCGGTTTTTATCCAACGCAATCATAGGTTTGAACGTTGTTTTCAATTTAGACTTGTTTATATATAAGTGTTCATATATATAAGCTCGCAAGATTATACAGCCCTTGGATGGTGTAAACTTCCAAAAAATACGTGTATGGTGTAATTGTGTATGGCATATAGTGCAGTGGTAGGTGTATGGTGCTATAGTGTATGGTGTATGGGGAATGGTGTAATGGTGTAACGTGCGATCAGGAGTGGTGTGAATGAATGGTGTACGACATTTTAAACTATGCAAAATATTGAACTGATTTTTAATTTTATACATTAATTTACAATATTGTGATCAAAACTCGTTTTTTAAAATAAATAAATAATTTTGTAGTCGCACGCTTTCTTTGAAATTAAATTGCATTATGGTGTAATGTGTAAGGTGTATGGTGCAAAGGTGAAACGTTTATGGTGTAATGGCACAGGGTGTATGGTGTAATGGTGTTAATTGGAAGTTTACACCATCCAAGGACTGTAAGAAAATCAATCACTTATAGGTATCATTTGTTTAATTCTCTTACAATTATGGTAAAATCATACACTAAAATAAAAGGATTGATCGATGTCGTGGATGAACATGAAACTATATATACTAGTAACGATACGTTTGTATCAAAAAGAAAATGAACAGTCGACTGACGACGTCACTGACGTTAAGTGTAGCGTCAGTCGTGTGGATTTTGACATTTCTACCTGCCCACTATAAACAGCATTCTTCTGGCAACTCAAGAGTCACTGTAGATGTCAACTAAAAAATTATTGAACTTTAAAAATAGTTTCATCGATCATTCCAAAGTAAAGTATTTTCTTCAATTCGTATGACCTAAGAAAGAAAATTGCATGTGAATGAATCTTAAGGGTGAGTAATGTTGAAGTTTTGCCGTCTCTGTGCCTTCTCTTACCCTGGAAATTACACAGTGGATGCGTGCTGTAGTGTGAGATATTAATACTCCGGCATCCTCAATCGAGAATGTCCGAAATAAGTTTATGAAATATTTTGCAATTTGGAATGCAGACATGTAGTTTTTGTATGGGTAATTCCGTTTAAATGACTTAATGATTATCATTCTTTTTTTTTTTTTAACACTCAAATTGATACTTTATTGCACACCTTGTTAACAATAACACTTGATGTACAGCATTCCATCAAGTATCCCTGTTAATAGTGCCACCGAATATCCAGGGAGAATATTCAGTAGAATTAACAAAAAAAAATTCTATCAATATCTAAATAAATAAATTGCTATTACAAATAGCTGTTTTAAATAGTCTACTACAAAATATGTTTATTTTTTTCTATATAAAATACTATATATTCATGTAACATTACACACGTTATCACAAACGTTCGTCAATATATTACGGAATTTATCACTATTTATTTCGGAATGAGTTTTTGTATACTATCTTAAATGTTCCAGAAACTAAATGCGGTCACTGATCGATGACCTCGCACGTTTTTTGTGCTTCAAGTTGGGATTTACACAATTCTGCAATGTTTTGTAATTTGGAATAAACATACGAAAAGGTGAGATGTTTTAATTATATGTTTTTATCTGTTATAAATCAAATGATTTGAAATAAATGTGTTATTTATTTGACCTACATAACGTTATGAACAATTGAACATGATCCCGTGTCGTGACCTTAAAATACCTATCAGCTATTTTGTAAACATACACATACTTGAATTTTCTGAAGTCATATTCGTACTACACACACACAGACAGATTCAAACATCCAAGATACACACACAAAACTCCTTCATAGTTGCATGTTTTATACATTTTAAGCATCACATTTGAAATTATATGCAGATAGGCTATAAAATATTAATTGCCTCAAATTTTCAAGAATAACATCAAATTCTGTACACTTAGTTACTATATCTGCCCAGTAACATGGTATTAGTTATATTGTTCTTTATTTTTACCCCTTTTTCTTTATTTCTTAGCCAATTATTTTGAAGCAAATAAAGTATCCACACCCATATATACATACTTGTACAATGTAGACACACACACCAACACACACACACACACCAAGTACAGATCTTTTTATATATATATTATAAGTAGATAATAAGTACTTGTATACCTTAACATTTAAGGTATCAGGTGCATTTATAAGCACATTGACAGCATATTGATATTACAAAATACTTTATGCTACATGTATATTTTCACATTTCTATAACATTACCTTAGTTTTTTTTCAAAATGTTATACACTTTTGTTAATAAACAGTTTATCTTCATGTTTACCAAACTATATAATTCTACTATATTATTTATTTCATATTTAAATATTTTCATTGTATCTACCCATTTAGATTTTTTATTCGAAACATTGTGTGCCTTATAGACTGAAAAGAACATTAAACTAAGCAAATGATTAAGTGCAAAGTAAGCTTTATCATTAATTTTGTATCCTATGACAAGAGAACGGAGACTTATAAAATGTTCTTCTATGCCAACTCTTTTGGGTAAATCTTTCATTGATTTCCAAAATATTTTATGATATTGACATGTAATGAAGAAATGGTTATAGTTATCTAGTTCATTGCAATAAGTACATAGGTCATTTTGTGCAATTTTCCACTGGAAAAGCAGCTGTTCATTTGGTAAAATAAAATGCATTAATTTCCATCTGAACATTTTTATTTTATTATCTTTTAGATACTCAAAAGTGAATTTAATAGAGTCTTTAAATTCATTTTTGAGACTTCCATTACCAAAGAGTCTTTCCCATTTAGCAAATCCAATTGGCGTTTCTGTTATTACTTGACCTAGCACTATTTTATATATGTCTTTATTATTGATAGTAAGGATATCAGTATTGTCTCGAAATTTGATTCTAGTTCGGTTAATATGAACATTAGTTTTGAATGATTCTTCTGATTTTAATATGTTGACCCATCGTTTTGGTATGGAATTTTTAATTTTTAAGATTTCTGCAATCCAATTACTTTTATTTTTCAATTTTGAAATAATTTTTTCTTCTGATATCTTCCCCCTTTTATCGATTATGTCATTAATATATAATATATCGCTGTCAATCCAGTTATCAAAGAACAAACATTTTCCTTGAAATTTTATAAATCTATTTCCCCATATTATTTGTTTTCTAATATCTAAATAATTCTCAATTTGATCATGATTAATATTGTTACAATTGTTAACATTTATCCATGTTTTTATCATCTCTTGATAGAAAATTGGTGTTTCGTTCCATATTTTTTTATCTAGCATTTTTATTTTATTCAAATTTATCTTGAAAATAAGTAAGTTTTTGCCAAATTTATTGAGGTATAGCTTTGGTAATACAGCCCAATTTGCATTCCCTGATTGTATTATTTTTATAATCCATTTTATATGTATTGATTTTATATAAGACTCGATATCAATCATATTTAAACCCCCCTCTGAAAATTTTTTAGTAATTATTGACCTTTTTATTTTATCTTTTCCTCCATTCCAAATAAATTTATATATTAAATTATTAATATTTTGTAGTTTATCTTTACTTATGATACTATTAGTTGCAGTTTAAGTTATATTTGGTAGCAAAAGAGCTTTTACGATTAATATTTTTCCCAATTGGGTTAATCTTCGTTTTGACCATCTATCTACAAGTTTCGCTATTTTATCCATGACTTTTTCCATATTCAGTGTGTCACATTCTTTTCTGTCATAACCAAAGTAAATACCTAAGCTTTTAATTGGTTTATTTGTCCAATTTATATTTTCATATTTATCTTTTGAACTTTTTAATTTTCCTAACCATATCCCCTCTGTTTTATTTCTATTTAGTTTTAATCCTGAAAAGCTGCCAAATGTTTCAATTATACTAAGAGCCAGACTTATTTCTTTTCGTGACTGGAAAAAAAGAGTTGTGTCATCAGCTAATTGACAAATTTTTAAATTACATGATTTTCCATCTAATTTTATTGTTATTCCTTTAAAATCTTTATTACTTCTTAGCCTTATTGCCATTAATTCTACTGTTATGACAAAAAGAAGAGCAGAAATCGGACACCCTTGTCGTATACCACGATATATTTTAAACGGACCTGAAACCCACCCATTATTTAAAATACAGCCTTTAATGCCATTATACATAGTTTCCACCCATCTGATAAAGCCATTTTTAAATCCAAACTTTTTTAGCGTTTCTGTCATAAATGTCCATTCCAAAGAGTCAAAAGCTTTACTAAAATCCAAAAAAAGTATTGCTCCTTCTATATTAAATTTTTCAGAGTAATCTATAATGTCTTGTATTTGTCTAATATTAAAACCTATGTATCTATTTTTGACATATCCAGTTTGATCTAGACTAATTATAGAAGGAAGAACATTTTTCAGTCTCTGTGCCAACACATAAGCTAGTAATTTCGTATCAATATTCAATAATGTTATAGGACGGTAATTATTTAATGAAAAAGGGTCATTCTTTTTAAAAATAAGCGAAATAGCACCTTTCTTTTGAGAATTTGTTAATTCTTTTTTTTTCAAAATTATTAATGAAAACCTTGACCATAATATTCTTTAGACTACCCCAAAATTGTCTATAAAATTCTACTGTCAGCCCATCCAGACCAGGGGATTTATTTAATTTCATTTTAAATATTGCATCTGTACATTCAGTTTCTGTTACATTCCCTTCACATTGAATACTATCCGAGTCTTTTAGTTTTTTTGGTATTTCTGTTTCTTTAATATACATTTTAACATCATTATCATTAGGATTAGTTGACTCGTAAAGCTTTTTGTAGTATTTCACTTGTAAATTTAGAATTTTATCTTGGTCAGTTGTCGTAGATCCATTTTCATCATATAATTCAGTTATGATCTTTTTTGTTTGACGACTTTTTTCTAGTCCCAAGAAGTATGCACTATTTTTTTCCCCTTCTTCAAACCATTTTACCCTTGACCTAATTTTTTGCCCTTTAATTTTATCTTTATACAAACCCTCTAACTTATTTTCAACCTTCTCAATTTCTATTTTTAAGTTTTGACTTTTATCAATACCATTATCTATTTCATTATTAAGATTATTCAGTTGTTTTTCTAGAATATTAATTTCATCCTTTTTTAATTTAGCTTTAATTTTACAGTAGTCTAAACTTGCATCCCTTACTTCTATTTTCAAGTTATCCCATAGTATCCCCAGATCATTGCAGTTGAATGAATCTTTTTCATATTTAGATATCAACTTTTTGATTAAAATTGTGTAATCTTCATTATTTAAAACACTTGAATTTAATTTCCAATAGCCTCGTCCCTTATTTCCTCTGTCAGTATTAATTTTTAATGATACCGCATTATGATCAGTTAGTTTTTGGATTATAGGTCTAATGTCACAACTTTTACAATTTTTTTGTACTTCTTTTGATATAAAGAAATAATCAATCCTTGTGGCTTCTGATCTATCTTTTCTACACCAGGTAAATTGTCTTGTGTTTTTATTTTTGATTCTCCAAATATCTATTAATTTGGATGATTTTATCAGCCCTTTCAAACTTGTTACTGGTTTATCAAATTTTTTGGAGGATTTAGTTTTGTTTTTTTTATCAGTCAATGACCAAATATCATTGAAATCGCCCCCAAGGATAGTTTGGCCTAGTCCATTTTTATTTATATAAGATTTAACTTTTTTGAAAAAACTATTTCTTTCTCTTAATCTATTTGGAGCATAGATATTAACTAGTGTGTAGATATTTTCATTAATTTCAATGTTAATTAAGATAAATCTCCCTTCAGAATCCTTGTGTTCATCTATAATTTTGAAATGAATTCCATCCCTTAACCATATTGCTACCCCACGCGAATTGCTTGTTCCATCACTTCTTAAAAGATTTTCACAAAATTCTTTATTCAAAGTATCTTGCATTAAATTTGTGAAATGAGTTTCTTGAATAAATATTATATCACATTTTTTGTTGATTTGCCCAACTAACTATTTTAATTATTTTGTCAGGTTGCTGCAGGCCATTAGCATTGACCGTGCATATATGCAGATATTTATTCATGGTGGATTATAGTTAAATTTATTTATCTTCCTGAACTCCAAGCATGGTGAGTAATTATTCTTATTATCTCTGTTGTATTTTATCTTCAGCATTATTTGTTTATTACTTTTGATTGTGCCTACATTTATTTTAACTTTGAATTCTTTTATTTTTTTCCTTTTATCCGTTTCATAGACTTTACATGCTTGGATGATTTCTATTAGATTATCAGATCTGAGATATTTACCTGTGGAGTTGAAATCTACATCTTTGTTCATATGATTCTTTAAATGGCTGTCTAATATTTTGAGCAGTTCTTTATCACAAGCATTAACATATCTTACTTGATTTTTTTTGTACTTAGTTTTTGATAATCTGTGATTAATATATTTATCACTTTTATAATGTTTATTCTGTAAGAAATTTAAACACCTGCTCCCCAGGTATACTAGTTCTCTATTTACAATTGTATTCGATCTATATTTTGACCTCATCCTATTTATAGCCTGTCTGGTCAATGTTATTTCATCTAGTTTTGAGGAGTTCATTTTAACTTTGCTTAATTTGTTGTGAATAGAGCTTTTTATGTTTATTTGTAAGATGATACATAAACACCTATTTAGTACATTAAAATACAATCTACTCCACAAATACATTTTGTATAACATGATTATCAAAGTTATTAAACAAATAACTACTTTTACACAGCATACTACTTTATTAGCTAGGCTTTCAGAGTAACACTTCTTTCCCTTTTTCTTACATATTTTTACATTCTTATACATAATTTCATACATATTGTTTTTATTTCCATTTACAAATTGATTAATTGTTTTATTTGTCTTTTTCAGGATAACAACTACCTGAATTGATTGTGGATAACCTTCAACAGCTATACCACTCAAACAGTTTAAATGATATTCTGGATAATATATACAGTTAAAAATAAGTAAAAACAGTGCTATACAGACAGTATTGTGAGGAATGTGATTTTTATAATGCATTTTGGTTTTTCGATTTTTTTTATTTTTTTTATTATTGTTATAATAAATAAATTTTAGTCTTTATTTTTTGTAGTTCTTTGCACATATATACAGTTTATGGTTTCTTTTTTTGCTTCTTTGCAGCTTCCTCTCGTGTAGCGTCGTTTTAATTTTCAGTTGGCGTTACTGGTGATTTTTCAATGTTTTGAGTTCTTGTTCTTGACTTGTTAGGCGTTTTGTTTGTTGCATTAGCCTGCTCATGACCAGGTTTTATTAAATATCTTGAGATGTCAGGTCTCCTGTCATCACTTTTAGGATGTTTTGGTTTTTCCTTCTTTTTTGGTGAATTGTCTTTTCTGGCGGACACCCTATCGTGATTATCGAGGATCGATTGTGAATGTTCTGTGTCACTCTCTGACCTACTCTTATCCTCGGTACTCATGAGAGGTTGTGTCGAACTCCGGAAATGGACCTCACTCTCCTGACTTGGCTTGTCGATATCATCATGGTCTTGATTCTGCTCATAATTCTCACTATTGTCGTGAACATTAGAATTATCTTGTTTATTATCGCCATCAGTGTTAGTCATATATGAATCATTACCTTCAAATTCTCCTTCTGGGTTTTCGTCGCATTCATACTGCTTATGGCCTGTTTGACCACATTTTTTGCACTTCAATCCATTTGGACAGACATTTGCTGTATGACCTTCGGATAAGCACTTACTACATTTCATATTTGGTCTGTTTGTTTGTTGCTGACCATAATGGTTGATTGTGGCCCAGTATTTTCCAATCTTTAATGACTTTGGAAGCGGTGGATCAAATGGTTTGCACACAACAATGCGATCACCTGTCCTGCAATTTGTGAGGAGGAAATCTATTCTTAGCCTCTCCCTGAAGTGGTTGAGTACCTCACATTTGCTAGCTGAAAGCTCAAGGGATCTTATAATCTGCTCATCATCTGCTGATAGGGGTACATTTTTTACACGTACCTTAATTGTATCTTCTAGCTCGTTCATTGTTACATTTGGGTTTCTGGTGTACAAAGTTACAGATTTTGTTCTGATTGTTAGACCTACAGACAGTAGATCTTTTTGTGCGTATTCATTGTCAAAATATATTCGCCACGTACCACGAACTCTCTGTAACCCAATTAAGGCTTTTACAGGTACTTGCTCATTTATTGCTCTGTACACCTCAGGATGTGTCAGAAATAGTCGCTGGCCTCTATAGTTTGTAGCATTTTCACCAAAGACATCGGACTCTAAGAGAAATATTGGTTTAACACTACCAATCTTGTAATCATCGTTTTTGTCTTCACTACTTGCTGCTTTAGCATAAGAGGCAGCCATTTTGTTTTCTTCGTTTGGGTTTTCTTTGTCAGTACACATCAATAAATATTACAATTGGTTATCAAAATGGAAAGTTTTAGTCGTTTTAGTACGGAAATTATATGTTGCATACACGATACACAAAATTCATACCATACTTTTGTTGAAATCTTCAGAATATCATTTTTTTTACGGAGCTATGAAACACTAGTCACCTTAGTTCAAGGGCCATAACTGATGATTATCATTCTTTTACAAATTTAGAATGCAGAACATACCCTAAATCAATATAAAGTTATGAAAGAACAATGCTTAGAACATACTCAACCATTCTCGTTCACTCGAAAATCAGTATTTTCCCTTCTATTTTTCATAGTACATGGCTTTCCATGCACTATAAAATGATATAAAATGGCAATGTCCAAGGGATAAGAGAAAAAGAAAAAATCATGAGTACCCGGTATTATAAATTAAATTGCGATTTCAACATTGTAAATGTTATTTAATGGTATATATTTAGACACCACCCCCCCCCCCCTTTTCCCCCGAAAAAAATTAAAAAGGGGACAAAGGTGTTGGTAAAATACATGTTATATTCAATCAAATTTTTATACTCCGGCATCCTCAATGACTGTTGATAAAAAATAAAAGAAAGTTTTTGAAAAAACAATACATTTATCAATAAAAATACAAGCATCTGATGTTGAAACGATTGTAAATTAAAATTCATTTATGAAGTTTTGTCCTTATTAAAAATTATACAATTTTAGAAAAGTTGATTTATGTAATATTTTGTGCTTTTTTAAAATGAAGGAATTTTAGATATGTAAGATTAAATTGTACCTGAAGCAGAGGAAATCTCCATTTTTGAATAATTTGTCCTTTTTTGTTATCACAAAACTATCTCATTGTTCTTTCATTCCATCTGTTGAAATGACCATTAGATAATTTACATTCCTTTTACTAAACATGTTAACACTTAAAGTGAGCTAATATCAAAGTTTGATTATTACAATGAGAGGCTAATTTTGTTATGTCACTCGAAGGTGTGAATATGTTCTAAATTGGTCAGACAATACTTGGTCATGTTTTGTGAACATTTAAGACACTCGGCTACGCACCGGGCTTTAAATATTCATAAAACATGACCAAGTATTATCTAACCTATAAATATCAATATAGAATGTCATTAAAAAGTAGCGTCATATTTATATAAAATCTCGCAAAATTATGACCCATATTTTTGGCATATCCACGTATACTCATTAATATGAAGTTACTTCCCCCCTTCATTGATATAAGGCTACGTGAAGCTATATAAGACTTTTACCTTGAAAGTTTAATGTTGATAATTCCATGTCTTAAAATTTAAAGTTGGAATTTCCAAGCTTAATGTTTGAATTTTCAAGTTTAATGTTGGAATTTCAAGATTAAAGTTGATAATTCCAAGGTAAAGTTGATAATTCCAAGATTAAAGTTGATAATTCCAAGATTAAAGTTGGAATTTCAAGATTAAAGTTGATAATTCCAAGATTAAAGTTGATAATTTAAAGATTAAAGATAATAATTCCAAGATTAAAGTTTGAAATTCCAAGATTAAAGTTGATAATTCCAAGATTGAAGTCGACAATTTAAAAAAATCAATAAAAAAGATGGCCCTAATACGGTTTTGTAGGTACCATTTTTACTGCACCCGTGATCGTCAACTTATTTAAATTATTTGTTTATTTCACAATTCAAATTTTAGTCATTTTCAATCACAAATACTTTCAAGCTAATAAATTCTTTGTTTTGAACTGTAAGTAGGACTAAACAAAAGGATAAGCCCTTGATAAGAACATGACTACTTTCATTCTTCACAATAAGGAAACACCAAATCCTACAATTTCATTGGTAGAATGTGCTTTGCTATATTCTAAACAAAGTCAGCAGCTTGAAACAAGTATGGTGACTTAAAAATGTTGCATCACTAACAACATTTTGGCCAATGGCAAGTATTAACAATTTGTTTATTTTTGTTTATGCTATATGATATCTTAAATAAGTAAAATTTTGACGGCTAAAGAGTATGATAATTGTTTTTAATTGACAATCTCTTCTACATACTTGTTATGTTGCTTTATACTTTTATGTGAAATTGTATAATTTATCTAATTGTCGTTATTTTGGGAGAAATTATGATGAGTTGAATTTACTGATGTTGACCCACCGTTTTGGAATGTTTGTACACAGATGACCACGGATATGTTTTTACTGTCGTAGCCATAATCTTGTCATCCTTTTCCGCGATTAAGAAATCACTGAATGAATTTTATCACAAAAATTTGGGTCTTATGTGGAATTTGCTTTTGATTAAGGAATACCACTACTCTATTTGAAGATTTGCTACCGTCAGCTGATGATTTGAAGTAAACTCATCATAGATACCAGGATTAAATTTTGTATTTTGGAAGGTTGCAAATGCAGTTTCACTGGCTGCGTAAACCTGTTATCCCGATTCTATATTTGTTCTAATCCAATACTCGTAAAATGTTCACAATAAAAAACTTAAAAGAGGGACAAAAGATACCAGAGGGACAGTCAAAGTTAAAATATGCGATAAACGTTGACGGCGATTGCGCTACGCAGTTGTAAATGGCCCCGACGTGCAATAGAGGCTTACAGAATAGAGAATAATAGGCCAATACTACACCACCTCCAGATCCTCGTAAATGTCACACTGCTTTAACATTTCAATGTTTTTTTACCTAATCAAAAGACCACCCCTTCCTTTACCTGCCATAACGATGTAAATAGATACAGTGTGATACTCACCATACATTGACGACAGTCGTAATATATAAAATATATCTTTTTACTGTTAAGTTTCAATTCTTTAAATAAATGTGAACATGGCTATAGTAGTTTTACCTCATACTCATATTCATCTCAAATGGAATCTTCTTCCTTTTAATTTTCGAAGAAATCGTGAATGACATTTATTTTTTTGTTCACAAATGGTGTTTTAGAGTAATTAATTCATACTTGGAAGAAAAGTACCAAGAGATATTACTTTTAAGAAATGCCATCTGCAGCTGAAGCTCAGTCATGTGAACATCATTAAAGCTATAATATAAATTGTGAATTTGAATCACGTTTCGGTGCGTTTGACTTCGACTTTAATTGACCATGACTGTCAGTTTTCTTATTGGTTTTCAACGGCTTCATCCTAATACAAACTTACCGCCGTGATATAGTCAATAGTATTGAAAGTGGCTTTAAACACCAACAATCAATCAATATATGTATGCGTAGTCTAAACTGTTCTAAAAATTAATTGATTGCAGGATAAGTTAAAGTTTGCTGTCATTCTGCAAATATAAATTGTGGGTTCGAATTCCGTTTCGGCAAGGTGCGTTCGACTTCGACTTTGATTGTCTATTACTAGAACTGTCAGTTTTATTGCCGAAGGTCAGTGGTTTTCTACGGGCTTCTTTCGCCAATACAAACCCGCCGCCGTTATATAGCCAAAAGTATTGGATGAGGCGTTAAACTGCAACAATCAATCAATCTATGCGTAGTATAAGACTGCTCTAAGAAATATTTGATTGAAGGATACGGTGACTTTCGCTGTCATTCTAGCTATTTTGTGCGTCATGAATATATTAGATGACACTAAAACTCTGTTGACTCCAGCTAAATGTAATTTCATTTCAACTTCTCCCTGAAACAGAAACAAGTAAGTCTGTAATCAAGAGTATCACATTTTATTTTTAAGTTGTCCTATAATATGTAACAGTACTTAAATAAGTGAAAAAAATTATTGTTGAAAGTGAAAGTAGTAATTTGGCAAAGTTAAAGTAGCGAAGAAATTAGCCTTCATCATTCATTGAAGACTTCTACCCTTTGAATGTTCACAGTGCTCCCAGGAAGAAAACAAGCGATTGCGTAAAGTATAGAGTCAAACAGAAGTTTTTTTGATATTTTTTTATTGAAAGAAGGGTAGGCCATTCTAATATATGACTTAGATTCCTTTAGGAATTTTTAGTATACGTACATTTTAACTTTGTTCAAACCTGTTTATTTACTTTTGACTTTAATTATTTATCCCTTGTAATTTTTTATTAACTGTGTATTTGCATTCAGGTGTCACAGGTCAAATTTATTCGTTCATTGTGTGTTAATTTACGTTTTTTGATTGAGTTAAGCCTTCCAATTGATATTTTTAGTGTGTTTTTCTATGTTGTGATGTTATACTATTGTTTCAGAAAAGGGTGAAGGTTTGGTACCATTAAAACGTTTAATCCCGCTGCAAATGTTCGCACCTGTCTTAAGTCAGGAATCTGATTACAGTAGTTGTCGTCTGTTTATGTAGTTTATACGTGTTTCTCGTTTCTCGTTTTTATATAGATTAGACCGTTGGTTTTTCCGTTTGAATGATTTTACACTAGTAATTTTTTGGGGCCCTTTATAGCTTGCTGTTCGGTGCGAGCCAAGGCTCCGTGTTGAAGGCCGTACTTTGACCTATAATGGTTTACTTTTATAAATTGTTACTTGGATGGAGAGTTGTCTCATTGGCACTCATACCACATCTTCCTATATCTATGGATAGAATGCTGCACACATGTAGTGAACATAACAATCTTGGTGCCAATGTTTGTAATTTGATACAAAAAAGAAAGGAAATACGAAATACAATTAAAATACAATGAAATGTACGATAACTGAGTTTGGGTGGGTGTGATTACCTACCTAATTAAAAAAATTTCAGCGATGAAATTGATTTTACATATTGATAATCTTGAAAAAATAAAAAACATACTTATTCTAACTGTTTCATTTTAGAATATCGAATACCTGTCGTTTTGAAGAGTAACAATAGCATGGCCAGGCGACTCCGAGTATTCCAGATATCAACGCAATAGGAATTCCAGCGATGAACAACGGGTATTCAAAATCAACAGGAACAAATGCATAAACCAACATCATTGCCAGTCCTCCAAGGAAGAAATCAATGATAAAATAGTATGCTATCACACAAATTATGCGTGTAGGGTTGATAAACACACGCTGTCTAACCAGTCGAGTGGACGATACTTTAGCAACATGTTCGGTCAAAACTTCTGGATTAAACTGTAAAAACATTCATAAAAATAAGATATGATAAATGCTATACTATTGATATTTCTTGTCAAAATATTGAAAACGGTATAAAGTTTCTCAAAATTAAAAAAAAAATGTGCACAATTAAGTTTGTAACATATTTCATAAATTGACACTTTTATATATATTTTGTAGTCAGCAAACATTTAGTTACAAATATCTAAAAGACTAATAGCATTACAAACCAGTAAAAGTCTGAAATGGCCTATATCTATACTCGACTGTACTGATTTTTACTCGACCAGTCTGAATTGGTCTGAATTTTACTTAATATTACTCGACCCAGTCTTAACAATACTCGACTGTACTGATTTGTACTTGACCCTTATCTTTGCTATTGAAAATAGTCTCAACTATTACTCGACCAGTCTGAAACAGTCTTAACCCAGTCTCGACCTGTACTCGACCAATACCTGACCAGCTCTCGACCTATTTTTTCAGTCTGAACCATACTCGACCAAAGGACTGAACAATACTCGACCAGTCTGAACCATACTTGACCAAATAACCTCTTCTTTAAAATTTTGATTGTTAAAATAACTTTCTTTTTAACTGACATGACAACAGCCACAACTAGATATCATTGAGATGGGAGCCATCTCTGTGGGCCCCGCTGTGAAAAATGTGTGGTAAAAAAATTGTATCTTTATCATTGGACATGGGGTTGTCAACTGTAACCAAAGTTTTTGACCTTGACCTTTGACCTAGGAAGTTGTACATACATTATGACACACCCTCTGGTGTTGGTTTAAATACATGTCAAGTATAAACTTTGAAATCATAACGGTTCTCAAGATATAGAGCGGACACGATTTTTACCATAGGACATGGGGTTATCAACTAAAACCAAAGTTTTTGACCTTGACATTTGATAGACGGACGGACAGACGGACGGACAGACGGACGGACAGACTGATCACTATAGGGCGTCCGCCTTTCGGCGGGGCCCCAATTAAATAAAGATATATATAAAAACAGATTTTTACATCCTTTAATAAAATTTTATAAATATTTATGTATTAAGTCTTATGAACAATTTACTAAACTGTAAAATGAATATGTGTAATAAAAAGTAAACATTTCAAGATCTTTCTCATAAATATTCAAACAATTGTTTAAAAACTATTTGTGACTTTTTTTCCCATCAAATTTGTGACTTTTTGTCCTGTGACTTTTTGTCCTGTGACTTTCTGTACTTAGGTTTCATGGTTACAATAGTTATATTACTATCTTTTTAATGAGGTAACAACAGCCAACAAAATCACTGACAATGTTTAACCTTATATCAGAAATATATCTATTCCTATTTATAATTTGCGTTACTTGAACAAGTTATTATTTTTAGTTACGTATATAGGTAATTTTTGTTTTTAAAAATTATAAAATTACTCAATAGAGTTATTTTAAATTTCAATAGAAGCATGGACTAAATGTAGTTTTCATGAATTTTTACATCATGTTATATCATAAAATTAAGATTTATTAAATTTGAAAAGGTATAGAGATAAAGGGTTACTTTAAAAATAATGACAAAAATATTACTTGAATAAGTTATTTTATTCATCTTTGAAAGAATTAGTAACAACACTTATTTAAGGAACATATGTAATTGTTTTGGGTTACAAATTACAAATAGCTTCAAGTCTTAATTAAATCACAAGTTTCTATCTATTTATATCTGTCTACCTTCAAGATTTTCAAGGAAAATGATATTTTGATAATCCCAAGAGACCAATCTTTGACCCAGAAGCGTCGATATGAAAGAAATGTGCGTCAGAAAGGCAATTAGTGTTTCAGATGGATTAGATTTTATATTTCATGGGAAAAATAACCAGATGACTGTGAACATTTGTTAAAGCTAGTAAAATCTGTATAATTGGACACCTATGAAAATAATATTTAGAAAAGTTACTTATATAAGTAATATTTAAAATAGCCTCGTTTTCAACATTATGTGTATAGATAATTTTAATAGTTACTTGTTTAAGTAATGCCCCTGACTGTATACATATTTTAAAAAGGGATAAAAAATTAAAGAAATGATAAAATTTTTCTTCCGATTACGGGTAAACTATAAAGTAATATATCCTGCATGGGGCACACTGATTAAAAAGATCACACCTGGTCAGAGAGTAACAAATTTTAAATAACATCAATTGAAAATTACAACATCCTGTAAAACTTAAATAACAAGGCCTTTTGAATTCACTAGATAAGTAATACACAAGTTTAAGAAAAATCTTTTTACCTGTAAAACACATCTGTACTGAGGTTATTAAACCATTAAACCTTATTAAAGTGCTTCTTGTATGCCATGTCTTTAATTTTGACAAAACGTATTTAAATTTAATTAAAATAAATTTCTACTGCAACTTTGGAATACATTTCCTTTTTTAAAAGGTTATCAAGGATTGCTATGAAAGTTTTATTATTATTATTATATTAAATTTTTGGTTTTTCAAAACAAAGGTGTCAATTTTAACATTTATTAAGTTGATTTATATGCTATTTTATATATATTTTGATAAAAAAAAAATTGAATAACATTTAAGATATTTGAATAATGGTTGGAAGTTCTAGTATTTTTGATGTGCATAAATCAATGTGAAAATGATATCACGTATATAAAAATTCATTTAACGAACTTAATTTATTACATGATATATATATATATGTATGTATAAAAGTTCCTAAATTGATGAAATACAATAGATAGATACAAAAAATAGGTCTAGGTTGTTTAAGACTTGGTCGAGTATGGTTCAGACTAGGTCGAGCATGGTTCAGACTTGGTCGAGAATGGTTACGACTATGTCGAGTATGGTTCAGACTCGTATAAAATGGTTAAGTACTGGTCGAGTAAAGGTCGAGTACAGGTCCAGACTGTTTAGTATGGTTCAGACTACAGTCAAGTAATATCAAGTAAATTTCAGACCAATTCAGACTGGTAGAGTAAAAATCAGTTCAGTCGAGTACAAATATAGGCCATTTCAGACTTTTACTGGTTTGTAGTGTAGGAATTAACCAAATGATGAAAAGGTTTGTCTTGCCATGAGTTCTACGATGGGTGCCATTATAGGAAAATGAAACACCAATCTTGAAAACCTGAGTTAAACCTCGACTTTTTTCGGGGTTCGTTTTACTCACTCTAAACTATATGTATTACATCTTAAACTACCGGTACTTGAGTGTGACTGTACCTAGAGTACAAAACTCAAGTTTGCTTGTCTTTTCGCTATTTTCAATATAGTCACGTTTTTTATTATCCTAAATGTATTATTTTAAACAGAATATTTACATCTATTCCACTTCTTCTGAGATAGTCGGGGATATACCGTGTTTGGAATGCCTCTCCACAACACGAACTCGTACTGGTTTCTTCGAAAATGGTATCAAAGTTTTCGTATTCTAAAAAAATAACAGATACTACTTTTGTATAGGTAATCGACATATTACATGAGTTTAAAATTGAAGGTAAGACTCGATTTTAACAAAGAGGAAAAACTTATAGTTACTTAGAGATAATATGAGGTTTCATAGATGATACACCATTATTAAGGAAAACCGCTTCGATGGTCTCGTAAGAGCGTGCTCGTCTTGAGTGCAAGTAAGAGGTCGTTAGTTTGATCCCAGGTCTGGTGAAACCAAAGATTATCCATACTGTTTATCACAAGTATAAAAGATGTTCTATTAATTCTCATGGTTTCAACTCTTAGTATTATATAAGATTGCTGGCTCTTTCCTAGGTCGGGTGCTGTTAACATCTTATCTCATAATCACTAAAAATGTGAATGCATTTCTTTCCTTCATTCCCCTCGAACTCTCTCTCTCTCTCGAATTTTAACAGCAAACACCCTAAAGCCTTTTTTACCCATTAAGTGTACACAGCACAAGTACAAATCATATTCAAAATGAGTAATGATCCCCTATTGATGATACGTGAGATGATGTTATGTCTTAGGAATGTATGAATGCAAATACACAAGTTAAAGTAATTAGAAAAAACATGTACACCAAAACGTTTGGTTTCTCGTTTGAATCGTCCCACATTTTGCTATGTAGGGGTCTTTTACAGCTGACTATGCAGTATGGGTTTTGCTCATTGTTGAAGCTGATGTATAATTGTTTCATTGGCAATCATACCTACATATATCCCTATTTCATATAAATGTTGCACAAAAATTTAGACCTTCCCGTGAACTTGAATTGCATTTGCACAAGTGTAGCAGAATGATAACAGAGTTCAAAAAAAGACCCTTCGAAAAACAAATAAAATAGACTTGATCATTATATGTTTATACTTCTGAGAAAAACCCTTTTGATGATTTAAGAATAAAGTTTCCTTCATTAGCTTTTAAAAAGTCTTCAGTTAATGCTTAAATCTTTCAATTTCAAACAGCTTTACGCAGTTTTTTAAAAGAGATGGTGTGTCTCTTTCTATTGCTATTAATAAAAGTATAAAAAAGAGATATAAAGTTATACATACTATGAAACTGTAAGAATGGTTGTGTGAAACCAGCATCCACTGTAAATAAAAAAAACAGATAAATAAAAATCAGATGGCCATCCCCTAAAAACAAAGTCAAAGAAGTCAAATTTTGAAAAAAATACGTCACTGAGATAGAAATACAACAATGTCGCACGCATGGTAAAGTGAGAAAAAAACCCCGAGAAAATGAAAATGAATAATTAAATATAGATTGAAAGAAAGGAGAAAATAGTAGGGTGCCCAAAGTCCAACTGAAAGTCCTCTAGTTAACGGGTTTAAGTTAACGGATAACACACGGCTATTTTTTTTGCAAATTATAGGAAAATCATTATCTTTTACAATCATGATTATCGTCGTTAGTTCCCATGGTCACGATTTTCTAAACTTCATGTTTTTACAGGGTAACCCCAGATACCGTATTGTACGTGGAATCTTTAACATGAAAAAATAAAATTATTACGCTCTTTGTTGGTGGTTTAAATAGTACTTATAATATAGTTTATACATTTAATATATCATATAACCAAAAGCGGAAAGTATTTAGGTGATTTTAGTATAATTATTTCAGCATCAGTAAGACTAAAATTTTTCCCCGAAATTTACCACATTTCATCGAAAGCAAAATTATAACGTGTATCATCACGATATGTTTTACTCTGATTAAAGCAATAAGACACTGTGTGTGCCAAATTTCATGTGTGAAATGAAAGTAGTTTTGAAGAAATTAGCAATTAAGAAAACAAATTAAGTCAATATTTTGACATTGATTAAACACGGATAATCACGTGACATTCATCATTTTGTTGCTACACTATCAGGTCATTAACAAGGACAGTGGTCACTCAATACATTTCTCATTTTTGCTTGTTGTGTGGTTGATTTATTTGTTTTGAATAGCCAGCTAACTTTGTAAATTGTTATTTTCTTCTGAGGAATATGTTTTGTGTCTGTTTTTCAATACTTTAAACTTTTTATTGAATATATATTTTTGTTATAATTGTAGTATAAGAATCAAATCGGTCGATTTCGTTTTACAACCGGAATATGGCACATCAAGCCTATGTTATGGTCTTGCATGATGTTTTCGACCTAAATCCCCCTCGGTGTGAACGACAACAAACATGTATCACCGTTCGTGCTTTAAATTATACACAAGAAGACACAACTGAAATAATTTCAAAGCTGAATTGGCAATAGGTTTGTCCCAGAAAACCACTGAACATGCTGAAGCCAATGACCTATATGTGCGAAGCTGGCAGCAGGAATTTTTTTTTCCGGATTGACCTTTTTTTCATTTGTTGCTACGCATGATTATATTTTTCCGCGGCTTTGCTGCGCAAACATTTATTTTCACTTTTGTACACATTTATATCCTCAACTCTCCCGTATTTCATGTTGCAGAGTATTCATTTTCATCCGGTCTTGTGCAAAGTCATTTATTTTCAGTTCATACCAGGCAAAATTATTGACTTTCAAAATCCTCCTCCCTTCCCTTCTTTCGAAATCAAATGGTCGTCCCCTTACTGAAAGCTAATGAAAGGACGTCATCAATCAATAGTCTGAGAAAAGTATGATCATAAACATAATTACCGTAAAAACTAGGATTCTACTGGTACAGCATGTTTTACTAACTGACTGAATTATGTCGAAATTCTTAGATTAAAGGATTATACATTCTTTATATGCCTGTCCCAAGTCACGGTCGAGCCGGTATTTGAGTGGTTTTCGTTGGTTCATGTCTGATTTTTTTGGGTAAATTGTTTCGTTATAAACTAGGCCGATGGTTACTCAAATGAACTGTTTCAATTTTTTATACCCGGGCCTTTTACAGCCGACGATACGACATACCATATGTGTTTTTCTCATTGTTGAAGGCCGCACGGTTGCCTATAACTGCTTACTTCCACATCTCCTTATTTTTATATTATACAAGTATTACATAAAATTAACATTTATTTATCAATGTTCCATGTAAATGAGGTAAGGTCAGATGAACTCTGCCACAAAGACTTGTACACTTTGCTACCATTCCATACACCAAATATATTTGACCCACTACTTATAGTACATAAGATAAGGACTTAACCACTGAAACTTAACCTGAAAATAAAATTGAGAATGGAAATGGGGAATGTGTCAACTCGACCATAGAGCAGACAACAGCCGAAGGCCACCAATGGGTCTTCAATGCAGCGAGAAACTCCCGCACCCGGAGGCGTCCTTCAGCTGGCCCCTAAACAAATATGTATACTAGTTCAGTGATAATGGACGTCATACTAAACTCCAAATTATACACAAGAAACTAAAATTAAAAATGATACAAGACTAACAAAGGCAAGAGGCTCCTGACTTGGGACAGGCACAAAAATGGGGCGGGGTTAAACATGTTTTTTGAGATCTCAACCCTCCCCCTATACCTCTAGCCAATGTAGAAAAAACAAACGTACAACAGTACGCACAGTAAAACTCAGTTTAAGAGAAGTCCGAGTCCGATGTCAGAATAGGAAACAAAAGAAAATAAACAAAATGACAATAATACAAAAATGAACAAAGGACTACTAGCAGTTACTGACATGCCAGCTCCAGACCTCAATTAAACTGATTGAAAGATTATGTCTTCATCATATGAAAATCAAGTACAATCCCTCCCGTTAGGGATTTAGTATCATACCATCATAAAATATATGAGAAGAACATAACCCGTATCATGCCAACAACTGGTTTTAGAATAAATGTGTTTAATTCCGATGCAAAGACCCTATAAGTGAATCAATATTAAAGCCAAAATATGCAATCTTTAATGACCTGACAACAGTATCGTAACTATATCCCTTCTTAATAAGTCTGTTTAAAGGTTTTGTTAGCTTTTGAGGTGAATACTGACATTTTTGGGCTTTGTAAAGAATATTACCATAAACGATTGGATGTGAAATACCCGAACGTATAAGATGTCTGCATGTTGAGTTATATTTACGAATGATGTCCTTATACCGATGATAAAATTTAGTAAATGTTTTGACTAGTTTGTGATATCAAAAACCCTGGTGTAAAAAATTTTCAGTAATACATAAATTTCTCTCGCAAAAATCTAATACGTTGTTACATACACGAGCGAATCGTACATGTTGAGATATATAAACACCATAAGATGGTGACAAGGGAACGTCACCATCTAAAAATGGATAATTAACGATAGGAAATGAAAAATCATCTCTTTTATCATACATTTTTGTATTAAGCTTCCCGTTGATGATATAGATATCAAGATCGAGGAAAGGACAGTGGTCATTGTTAGTATTAGCTTTATTTAAAGTAAGTTCAACAGGATAAATTTCTTTAGTATACATACTGAAGTCGTCATTATTGAGAGCCAATATATCATCCAAATATCTAAAAGTATTGTTAAATTTTTGTATCAGATGTTGTTTCGATGGGTCTTTGCTGATTTTAGTCATAAATTGTAGCTCATAACAATACAAAAACAGGTCCGCAATAAGTGGTGCACAGTTAGTCCCCATTGGAATTCCGATAACTTGACGATATATGGAATCTCCAAAGCGAACAAAAATGTTAGCGAGCAAATATTCAAGGGCAGGTATAGTATCAAAGCACGTCCAATTGACATCGCTCTTTTGTTTGTTGCTACTAAAAAATGACCTAAAAGAGTTTGAACATATGTATTCGCATTCCGACTTTTTAAATGCCCATTTAATTCGGTGGGTGAATTTTTTCTTAATAAGCCTATGAGGCAAAGTGGTATATAGGGTAGAAAAATCAAAACTTTGAACAGATTCAAAATCACCAATATATGCATGCAATTTATCAAGTACTTCCAACGAGTTTTTGACACTTTAAAAGTAGTTAATTCCACTATTTTCAAAGGCCTTATTTGAACAATTTATTATCAGGTTTTTGATTGTACCAAGTGTACTAGTAAGTAGAATAGACAATTTAGTAGTGGAACAATGACTTGAAGACGAAATAAATCTATATTTGTAAGGTGATTTGTGTAGCTTCGGAAGCCAGTACATAGTTGGGACTTTCATTGTATTTGGTTCTGCTTGTAAAGAAGTAGCTAATAGTTTATGTTTGTTACAGATATCGTTTTCTGAAAATGAAGTCAGTTGGAATGTTGGTGAATTCGTGATTTCCTTTTGCAGAATCTTAACGTAAAATTTACGTCAAACTATAATGATATTATTAGCAGCTTTATCAGCCGGGACAAAAACAAATTCCTTGGCTAGTTCTTTTAGTTTATGTTTAATACGAGAAATAGGATGTTTATGGTTGTTGTTAAGAGTAAAATGTTCTTTAAAATGTTGTATACGTATATCAACTATCTTCATTACTGACTTAAAAAAAGAGTCCAAAGATTTTTGGTCAGCTTTTTCCCTTGTTCACTGATCCATGAAATGAGGTCGAGGTCAGATGAACCATGTATGACCGACATGTAGACCTTGCAAGGATACCATATATTAGTAACCAAATATAGTTATCCTAGATGCGAAGGATACCAAAGGGACATTCTAACTCACAAGTGAGACATTCACATGACGAAAAAAAGGCTATACAGTTTTTTAGCAGTCACTAAACGATGAAAATGAGGTCAAGGACAATGAGTATATGACAGACGGGAACTTTGTAACACAATGGATCTCTATATACAAAGTATGAATCATCCGATTCATCTACCCTCTGAAATATAAAGATATACAAATAGTTTACGGTGTTGCCGCCGACACCATCAGATTGTATGCTGTATGCCTCGCATTCTGCGACTTGCTTCGAATGCGATTTAAAAAAGAACAACTGAAATTAGCTCTCTTACCTAAACCTGGTCGGTGGGCTTTCTACTAAACAGTAGATAATGAAACGTAAAAGCTACTGCTAGCTTCGGCAATTTTTTTTATGTCGTTTCAATCTGATTAAAATTCTGATCTTTGTTATCTCGTGTGCTCGTATATATAAGCTCATATGAGGATATCGAAATCAGAGATCTATATTTTAATTAGATTGATGTTGTTTACAACCCTCTT